GTTGGGAGACTGAGGCAAGAGGACTGCTCAAGCTCAAGAGTTTGAGGTTGCCATGTTATGATGATACCAGAGCACTCTACCCAGAATGACAAAGTAAGACTCTGTCTCAAAAAAGATAAAATAAAATGAAAAAAAAAGAAGGTTTTGGACTTTATCCTAAATTTTGAGAAGCCCTGAAGTTTTTCAGGAAAGCAAGTGACATGATCAAATTTGCACCTTAGAAAGAAACTAACAGAAGTGTGAAAAGCAGGACAGAGACAGAAGGCAGTATATGGGTTTTTGCCAATAATCTAGTCTATAACATTAACTGCAAACTAGGTCCAGATTATAATAAAAAGAAACAAACCACAGCTGCGCCCATAGCTCAGTGGGTAGGGCACTGGCCACATGCACTGAGGCTGGAGAGTTCAAATCCAGCCTGGGCCAGCTAAAGCAATAATGACAACTGCAACAACAACAGCAGCAACAACAACAACAACAAAAATAGCTGGGCATTGTGATGGGCACCTGTAGCCCCAGCAACTTGGGAGGCTGAGGCAAGAGAATTGCTTAAGCAGAAGAGTTTGAGGTTACCATGAGCTGTGACGCCACAGCATTCTACCCAGGGCGATAGCTTGAGACTCTGCCTCAAAAAAAAAAAAAAAAAAAAAAAAAAAAGGAAAGAAAAAGAAAGAAAGAAAAAGAAACCAGACCATTCCAAAAAATTATATTCTACATATGAAGAACTGAGAAAATAAACAGATCTCACACACTGAATCCATCTTCAATGAAGGACACAGTCAGGCAAAGAAAGAAGTTATCACCTGCAGCCCATTCCACTCTCCTCTTCCCTAACCCCCACTTTTGGTTCTCCACTTCTGAAATTTCTGTGTGTCAGGGTTTGAGGTATTCTAAATGTATACAAAGGTGAGTTGAAAACTGAGAGGGTAACTCCTTCCAGGATATGAACAGCTTAGTACCACCCTAGACTATCTTTCACTGCCTATAACAGACAAAGCAGATATTTAAGCTGTTATGTAGGAAAGACTCTGGGAAGGTAAAAACCTGAGAATGTACAAGTTAGTTGACTTTTCAAAGGCAAATCAAAAAGGGTTTAAATGAGTTATCAAAGTCATACCTTCTTCCAAGGACATGTAATCTGATTGGGGTGTTTCCATCTCTGATCTGTAAGAAAAGCTCTCTTGCTAGTAAGCTAAGAAATGACCCTATTTCTCCAACCTAATACGTAAAACTACTATGGAACACTGTAAACTCAAAATAATCTCTTGGAAAAATCCTTATAACTTCAGGGTGCCTACGAAAGATTTATGATTTGCTGAACAGAAAATCATGTAATCTAGGGAGAGGTATAATTTAAAGAAGGCAGGCTTGTTTTTTCCTCCCCTTCACTGTTTTCACAACTTGAGGTCTATAAAGATAAAATACTATTTCAATACTGGTAAACTAATAACTTAGCCTTAAAGAAATTTTATGTCAAGACATTCCATTTGTGAAGGTATTTTATTTTCAAATAAATTTTTTCTATCAAAAAAATAAATGTCTTGCTTTATAGGACAATCATGTGATTTTATATGCAGTCAGACAATTACATTCATGAACTCATCCTAGAAAAAGTACCTCACTGCTGAATATCACTATGGTCACCTTTAAAGTATTTGCCATTTGGTGACTGTAGTGATATTGAAAGTATGTAGCACTTTTTCTAGGATTGAGTTTGCAAACTTAATTGTCTAGTGTGTCTACATACTATGCATATACTTTAATATAACAATGATTTACCTAATCTATTAATACTATAAGCTCTAAAAGCAAGACATTGTTTTCTGAGGGCCACATTTAAAAGTCTTTTTTTTTTTTTTTT